TGCTGGGCTCACAGGTGAGTGTCACTCATTACAGTGGAACTGAGTAGAGATCTCTCTCCTGCTCCTCCACACACTGTCAGGTACAGTTTGCTGTAAAAATAGTCAATAATGTAGATCTGCTGCTGTATGGCAAGAACATTTGTAGATGATTGATTCCAGTTGCAGTAAATTCATCTTGGAAATTGCTATTGATTTTAGAATTGTTGCAAATGTTGCAACATTTTCTAGAATTCGAAAAGAAAAAAATTCCCCATTAATTTATCGTTACTTAACATTCATTTGTCTGTTTTTTGTCTTTCGATGTCTTTGAAAACTATTTCCTGAAAACTGAAAATCAAGACTTAAACAAAATAGCATGTCTGAGTTTACTGATCTTGTAAGTATAATATCCAAATATCCTGTGTGGTACTCAAAGGAAAACTCTCCGTTAGTGTTCAAGCGTAAAATTTCTTCACATAAAAATCTCCTTGTTTCTTGCACCCTTGGCTTCCTGTGAGGCCTGTGATTGGTCTTACTGGGGTCATTTCAGCAGCACAGCTGGTATGTAAGCAGACAGCCGGGATGACATCAGTCATTTCTGTGTGCAGTCAGAGGGTCTAAACACCCAGCTTCATGTGCGACTGGAGCAGGTCTGTGTTTATCAGGGGACAAGATCAGCCTCAGAGGTTAAGACTAGACCTGGTTGTCTTTCACTTTGAAGCTGGTTGTGAGAGCTATTGTTCCTTTAGTCAGTGGCGTACAGGAAGTCGATGACGCCCCCCTGCAGCTACAAGTCAGGGCCCCTCCCACGATTATGACATCATAGCCCTGTTTGGTGTTGCAGCCTTTGTGATAATCATGGACCAATGTGCAACAGTTCTGTTAGAGATGTTTATATTCATCATATCCACATAAAAATGGATTTTAATTTTTGTCTCAACGTATTGTACATAATTTATATGATAAAAATTTTCCCATTGGGGGAGGGGGGGCAACTCTAGCAGCAAGAACCAAAATAAAATTAATTAATTAATAATAAAAAATTACCATAATATTACACAGTTGAGAAAAATTTACGGTGAAAATTTTGATGTTTGAAGTTTGAAGCGTTTTCTGCTTGCAACCACATCTCATCGACAAAGACTGCAGAAGGCATGGAATTCGTCTTTCCTGCTGCTCGACATGAACATGCCTTCTTTGGATCATTCTGTATTGTAGGAGGTTTTTCGTTTAGACATTTTAACATCCAGTGCAAATAAAATACCCTGGATGGGGAGATGAACTTATTAAAGTAAACTGCAAATCGGTTGGCCAGGCTTTGTTAGCCAATGAAATGAAACATCACTGAGTCAATACCAGGTCTTTTTATAGAGTCACTAAACTTAATGCCTGAGATGTTTGTTGACCGTCGCTGATGTAATGGCAATTGGAGTATGTTTTCACCAGAAACTTTGTGATTAGTAATACAATCATTTAAATTTATCATAGTGTGGGAATTTAATAGTTTATTCGGTAAATAGCTGTATGTTATTAATACATTGTTTTAAATGCTGGGGATGCATTTCAGGGGCTGGGGGCGTCACCAGTATGCCACTGCCTGTAATTGGTAGAGACTGGGAGCAGCGTGGTGACCTCACATCTTGAGGCTGAGGGGTTTGATATCTGGCCCAGCTCTCTGTGTGGAGTTTGCATGCTCTCCCTCCCAAACCCAAAGATATGTGGTTCAGGGGAACTGGTGCCCCTAAAGGTGCCCGTAGTGGCTGCGTGTGAGTGTTTGCCCTGTGATAGACTGGCATCCTGTCCTGGCTGTTCCCCTGCCTTGAGTGTTTGCCCTGTGATAGACTGGCATCCTGTCCTGGCTGTTCCCCTGCCTTGAGTGTTTGTCCTGTGACAGACTGGCATCCTGTCCTGGCTGTTCCCCTGCCTTGTGCCCTGTGCTGCCTCAGATCAGCATCACACTCCCTGTACTGTACTGACCCTGTACTGCATAAGCATGTGAAGATGGACAGCTGATATCCCTCAATATTAAAGGGGGTGACGACCCCATTCATTCACCTCACCTGTGCCTTATTACCACTGATTGAAGGTCCTGCTTTTCCTCTCAGACCCTAGAACACACTCCCAGACTCAGATTCCCGATCCCTCATCCCGCTGTAGCCCTTCCCAACATCCGACTCCCGCTTTGTTTTACTGTGACTTTCCCTTGTTCTCATGGCAAAATGACAGTCTTGTTATTTGACCTCGTCACTGTTCCCTTACGCCCATCTCTCTGTGCCATGAGCCTTGGTCCATCTGTCATACAAACTGATAATACAGTATATTAATTAGAGATACTGTGAGGCCGAAAATGTGAATTCAATTGGTTGTTGTCCCCACAGGTGCTGACAGTCTGTCCTCAGTGAGATGGGTGACTGTACAGAGTGGAGGATCTGTCACCATCCCATGTTTATATGAAGACAGATATAAAAATCATGTGAAAAACTGGTGCAAAGGGGATTATGGACAGTCATGTACCTCCATAGTACGGACTGACTCTCCACAGAAGAAGGGTGACATGTCAATCAGAGATGATCCTGAGCAGCGAGTCTTCACTGTGACCATGAACAATCTGAGAACTGGGGACTCTGGTCACTACTGGTGTAGTGTGGAGAATAGTGGAGATTTAGATGTTGGTGCTTGGGTTACACTGTCAATCACTGACGGTAAGATGTCTGTACTGCAGACTGTAGCCAATGAAACCTACAGTATGAAAGATGTCAGTTAGTCAGAAAGGATGGACATTAACACAAACACAAATGGTAAAAAAATATTATATCTGAATATGTTATTTCTATAGAACAGGATCAAAATTTATCTTTTGCTTAATTAGATATATCTTACCTTTGGAAGTAGAAATTTCAGACAGACAAAAATAATTCAGAATAGACACCCTGTAACCGGAGATGAAGTCTCGTACATGAGGAGGTCCCTGAGACAGCCAGCAGACAGACCACCTCCCTCTATCACATCAGTCTCCTATGTACAAGTTTCTTTAGTTCCTCCTCATCTCTCAACCTTCTGCTTCCCTGTTATTAATGCCATCATTTCTCAAACATAACTGACACCATTGTCTGTTAACTGAATTAATGTAAGTGCTTTTTTATATTTCACACCGAATATGTGTGAATAAACAAGATCTTCATTCCCCTGCAAGCTGCTTACAGCCCCTGGGTCTCTGTATCCTCTCAGATCCAGCTCCTCCTCACAGACTCTCCTGGTTTTTCCCATTTTCACGCAGGTTCCAAATTCCTGCTGCATCAGCCCGACCTTTATGACTAATCGTGCGAGTAGATCACTCAATAGGTAGAAGATTACATGAAAGATAAAGGAGTAATTACTGAATAAAATCACGTGTTAAATGTGTGACTGAATATTATTCCCCACCCAAGCAGCAGCTGTGTCTCACTGCTTTTCACTAATTACATGTTTCCTGTTTCTCCCATTTCTGGGAACATCTACAACGCTCTTTACCCTCAGCATCTTACTGGCTCAGCTTCCCCCCCAGTTTGCTGCTCAAGCTGGGACATTCAGAAACACTGAGACAAATAAGCCAAGGCTTGACTACTATCCCAGCATGCACCTCTACTCCAGGCCTCCTTTCCTGTTTCCAGCTTTTTCTACCACAAACCAGGGAGAAGAATCGGTGACAGTTTAAATCGGCCACTTCAGGGTTTAAATGTGATGCAATTAAATGTGCTTTTGTTGGACAAACATTAATATAAATACATAGTAACTGTCTCATATATATGACTATTTTAACCCTGTGTATATATAACAGTGTTTCCGTTTTTTATAATCTGTGTGTTCAGGTTCCCCAGAGTTGTTAGTGGACAAACAGGAGGTGACTGGTGTGGAGGGAGACAGTGTCAGTGTTCAGTGTCGCTATGGAGACCGTAGCAGTGAGATGAAGTGGTGTAAGATCGGGGGCTCCTGTGTATCAGGGGATTCTGGGAGTTTGGATGGGAGGCCTGTGGAGATCAGGGATGACAGAGTAAATAAAGTCTTCAGTGTGACAATGTGGGGACTGGAAAGGAAGGACACAGGCTGGTATTGGTGTGATGATGGAGACCAGCAGATCCCAGTTCATATTACTGTCAGTCAGCCAAGGTAAGCATTCTGCTGCATTTGCAGTTTGTGACGGTCCAGCTATCAGCATTTACCTGATCAGACAGTAATGGAAAATTTCCATTATGTTTGTGAGAATAAGGATATTGTTTTTCCCCCCTTTTTAAAATGATAATATACTTGAGATGGCATCACATCCAGTGTGAGCCCCTACCTTGTGCCCTCTGCTG